GGGTTCCAAGATCACCACAGATGGGGACCGTAGCAAAGAAATTAAAAGACGCTTGCTCCTTGGGAGGAAAGCTATGGCAAATCTAGACAGCATACTAAAAAGCAGAGATATCACCCTGCTGACAAAAGTGTGTATAGTCAAGGCTATGGTTTTTCCAGTTGCAATCTATGGCTGTGAAAGTTGGACCATAAGGAAAGCTGAGCGCCAAAGAATTGAGGCCTTTGAATTGTGGTGCTGGAGGAGGCTCCTGCAAGCCCCTTGGACCACAAGGCAATCAAACCAGTCAGTCTTAGAGGAGATCAACCCTGACTGCTCTTTGGAAGGCCAGATACTAAAGATGAAATTCAAATACTTTGGCCACCTAATGAGAAGGAAGGACTCACTGGAGAAGAGCCTAATGCTGGGAACAATTGATGGCAAAAGAAGGGGATGGCAGAGGATGAGGTGGCTAGATGGAGTCACTGAAGCAGTCGGCGTGAAGGAGTCGGCGTGAGCTTAAGTGAACTCTGGGGGATGGTGGAGGACAGGAAGGCCTGGAGGAATGTTGTCCATGGGGTCGCAATGGGTCGGACACGACTTCGCGACTAACAACAGGCTTCTACAAATGAAGTTAAGGGCTCTCAGGAAAGATGGGCCTAACTGTAATGTAACTGTGCTAGGCTTTACTGACATGCCAGTACTGAGTCTGCTAACACAGATCTGACCAGATGCATGTGCACTATGCCCAACCAGTATCTATTTGCACTGTTATAAATGTTTGACTCTAAGCAAAGCAAGTTTAAGCACAGAACCAACTCAAAAATAGATTTACCTTAACTTTTGTTGTCAGTATATTTCAGATATGCACTGAGACACCACTTTGGTGAAAGCACATCCATTCATCCTGATAAATACTCATAGGTAGGCCAGGGCTGAGTTTAACTGGATGCACACAAAGTTTATGCCCTACCACTGAGCTGTAGCCATTACTGTTACCACCAATCTACAAATTACACTTTGCAAACCCACATTGCACTATAGCTTCACATCAGAGCTTCTTTAGTCCACTGAAATTAACAGGATTTAAGGGATTTTGTCCCATGGATTGCAGTGGGACTAAAACATGAGTGACTTAGCCTGGATCCAGCCTGCTTAGCCCTAACCATTGCTTGCTCACTTTATATGTCACAACTAACTCTGGTTAGACAGCAGGCTAGAAATAGAAAAGGGAGTAAGTGCTAACAAGGAAAGGGGAGAGGGAGGGGTGTGTTTCCATTCCTGGTTCTCGAAATTGTGATTCGGATGACTGTCCCAGCTAAGTCAAAATTTTACAGGGTTTTTGAAACTGAAAAGTGGCAATGGCAATTTGTGTTTAGAAAAATTAAACAAATGTAGTTGAATGGAGTGTGAACCATAAGTATACATTAGCAGATACAAGGGCAAGATTTAAAAATTCTACTGCATTCCTACTAAGGTGATTTAACTTCCGTGTTTAACTCAACTACTGCAAGTCTGCTTCTGAAAACAGGTATCTTCTGTCTTCCTTCTGAGATAGTTTACAAGATACCTAAATCTACATATTTTATTCTTAGAAAAGGTTGGATGCTGGTCCTAGCTTTATACAGACCAATGAAATTTTTGACACCATAGTCCTAGACATCTCTGCTCAGAAGTAGTACTGACCCAGGTATGTGTGCACAGGAATGCAGCCTGAAGCAGTAATTTCAAAAGTAGGACATTTTCACAAGTAAAGCTTAAATTAGCTCCTGACATTAGTGGATATTTGAGCCAAGGTAGGGTTTACATTCCATTTCTGTCAGATTCCCTCCCCCATGAAAAACATCCATACGTGATGCAGAAAGAATAAGGCTCAAAGGCACATGTTATTGTCATGTATTTAAAAAACCCCCATGGATTATAATATTAATTTAGTATATGTGAATTAAGTAAATTTATTACTGATGCTGCATTCTGCAGTAGCATTTAACAGCCAGATCCAATGACCTATTACACTGAGGTCTGGTAAAGATGTAACATTTTCCCACCTCAGATCCATGCATATGAAATTGGAAGCAGCCTCCCATCGCACCCACTTTTTCCTTCCTTCTAATGCATGAATGAGACTGCAGGTGGCGCAGTGGTTTAAACCGCTGTGCTGCTGGGCTGGTTGATCGAAAGGTTGCCGGTTCAAATCTACACAACGGGGTGAGTTCCCGTTGCCTCATCCCAGCTCCTGCCAACCCTGCAGTTCAAAAGCGTGCAAATGCAAGTAGATAAAAAGGAACCACTTCGGTGGGCAGGTCACAGCGTTCTGTGCACTTCGGTGTTTAGTCAAGCCGGCCACATGACCACGGAGACTGTCTGCAGACAAATGCTGGCTCCCTCAGCTAGGAAATGGAGATGCACACTGCCCCCTAGAGTCAGGCATGACTGGACTTAATGTCAAGGGGAGACCTTTACCTTTTTTAATGCATGAAGCTCCATTCCATTTTCAGAATTAAGCATAGTGCAATGTTAAACCTGCATTACACATAATTAGATTCAAGCCAGTTTTATATCATGGTTAGAAGTAGGCTTGCAAACGGTGATTTGATGAGCCATGGATAATAAATACACTGCTGCAAATATCATGCTATACCAAGGTTAGCTCTGACAGAGGAAGGGAAATGATTTAACAGCCACAATTTTGAAACAGGATGGAAGAACGTACAAACAAGAGACTGAGAAACTTATTTGCATTGTGCAAGTCAGTGTTGGTTATTTGTCCTCGCAGTTTTTTCATACGCTCTACCTTCTTAGGCACAATGATCTGTGGAAAGCTGAGCACATTTTATGACAACAGAATTGCATTGAAACACCTGATCAGCAACAACCAGTTGGAACAGATGGATGAACTGTTGCAAAGAGCCAAATCAATCAAATCTATTTGAATACTGTATATGCACAAATGACTGCAGATCAACTACTTAAGAAGCTTAAAAACCCTTTCCAAGCAAATAGTACCCCATGTGATACAGAGGTATGCAAGACAAGTGTGTCTTTTTGTCAATCAGAAAATATTTTTCTTTGCTCGGAAACTTTATCTATGAAGTTGCTGTACACTGATCTCCTTCTTCCTGTGCTGTAAGATCCAAAACACCTTTTCCCAGAAGTCCCGTTTAATTCAATGGGATCTATTCCCTAGTAAGTGTACTCACACTTAGTACCTTTGGTAACTTTCCATAGCTAAATAAACAAAACGATGCCCAGGCTTGCACAAAGAGCTAAATATGAGGCATATAATTTTATCTCGGTTCTACTCCTATGATAAGTAGAAATAAATAAAAGAATACCATATACTAATAGTTATTTCATTCTCCACAGGTCCTTTTCACACCAAGCAGTACCAGCCATATACAAGAAGTTGGTATCTGAAGGCTTGGGGAAATCCCAAAGTTTGCCAAGTGGAAATATTTAGGAGGAAAAACATTCTAAAGCAGCAAGGGAGGAGAAATCTAAAAACAGTGACAATCAATAGCCACACAGTGAATGTTAGGAGGCAAAAAAATGAAAAGGACAGCAGATGGGTGCAAAATGGAATGGCATACTCTACCCAAGGGCATGGCTGGCTGAAACACAACACTGCAACTTCTGAGTCTATCTTACGCAAGTTTAGACTGTAATCCTACAACTCACAGAATTACCCAGCAAGTTACAACTTTCCTGTCTAAATATGCATGGATTGTGCTAAGCCCAAAGAATAACAACCTAATAACCTAAGCCTAATAACTAAGCCTAAAGAATAATTAGTTTTGAGTACTCTTATGTAGGCCTAGTTACAACCTAAAGAAGAGTTCCAGTAACTCCTTTTTATTCATTTATTAGCATGTAAATCCCCAAAATGATGAAGAAACTATTTCTGACAAACTTCAAAAACCAACTAATGTGGTTTGCATTTGATCATTTCTCTATATAACCCTTTTCCATGGGAAAAGAAACAAAATCACTGAAAAATTTTATAAGAAACTGCTAAGTTTACCAGTGTAACTAGTATTACAGACTTCTTTCTCATGTCCATTTAATCAGGCATTATCTTAACTTTCCTAAATATCTTCAACATTTTCAGGCAGCTATCCTAAACAAACTTATTAAAGAGTGAACTCCCTGAATGCAATAGTATTTACTTCTAAGCAAACATGCATAGGTTCTACTTGTAAGAAACTATTAGACTGATGAATAAAAGAAGTCTGTAGTAGTGCAGTGGCACTATGAAGGCAAATTTCAAACACCAGAAGGAATGCATGCTTTGGACCCACATGTCTGTCACTTTTCTGTAGAAATTAATTCATTAATTGCAATGGATTTTGTTTATTGACTCAGCTGTGCAGTGGCCTCTGCTGGTACATATGTGCATAAATTAGGGATTAACTTTATTACCTCTCTAAAGAGCAAATAAGCTGCTCAAGAACCTGACAAGTCCTCAAGCACAATGCATGAACCAGGAGCTTAGTGGAAAGTGACAGGAAAGGAACTGGATCATCTGATTATCTAATCATGGACTTTTACAAACTTTTGACACTATTCAAAACTACTTTGATTCCCCCACATGGTGCTAAGAATCCCTTCTACTGATGTTTTAGCAATGTTATGCTATACTTCCTGTTAACTGTGTGACAAACTTTCTTGTTTTAACAAACACCTTTATTTTTAATTCTAGACAGTAGATTGCTAATCACGTAAGTACTGTTCCACTAAAAGTAGTTGACTTGCTCCAGTCAGAACGCAGCTTATTCCGACACATGCGCTTCTGCCAGTGGAAGATTCTAAAACCCTACTTGGAAGTAGTCTTACTGGCTACAATAGAGGTTAATGATAAGCCGCTATTTAGGGTGCTGGCTTTAGAGGGGTGAGAGAGAAAAGAAACAGATATCAGAACGATTCCTGATAGTACAGTTACCTGCATTAGAGGGTGGACAGGTGAATTCCAGCAGTAACATTCAAGCAAATGAAAGCTAGCGCTCGAACCCCATTGAAATTCTTACCTTGGACCTTTCTTTGACATAGTATTTGCCCAATCTACTTCCACAGTACATCACCAGCCTGTCTATCAAAGACAAGAGGAAGTTGATGGCCTCGCATCCCTCCTCAGTGCCCGCGATCCACTTTATCTGGTCTCCCCTCAAGTGTCTTTTGGAGATGCCGTTGCGCTGGCCAGCCAGTTGACCATCTTGCAGCTCCCCGTTATAGTGCATCTGTTTTACGCGTTCCAGCACGCAGTCCCCCACCAACTCGCCCAAAAAGTTGTCCAGGTAGCAAAACCCGATATCGTGCAAAGAAGGTACAATGTAGTCCAGTGCAATTTTCTCTAGATCTACTCTCATAATATGTCCCAAGGGCATCTTAGGAAATGCGCTTGATCTCTCTCCCCTATGAAGTCAAGAGAACAATCCAGCAGTGAGCTGGCTACCGCAGGAGCGCTGGGGGTGTGTTTCAGTAAGGGTAACAAACTGAAACGGCCACACACCCCAGCATTTCTTAACTCTTGGATTCCTGACAAAAGCAAGCAAGCAGGCAAGACGAGTCTGTACCAGGCTAGCAAGAGATCGGTGGGTCCAAAAGTTTTGCTAAAGCTAATACTTTTCTCTTCAGGGTAGTCAGCAGTAACTTCCTCAGTTCCTTCCAGTTCCTGGCGACACAAGGCTGATACTGGGATGAACGGTGCTGGTACTCCCTCCTCGAAGTGGCCTCCACCCACAGCCAGGAGTAGCACCTTGGTGGATAGCTAATAATGGAACAGGGAGCTGCGGAAGCTCTTTTCTATTTACGCTGCGGCCGGGAGAGCTTTGGGTCAAGTGAACACCCCGTTTGCTGATCACTCCCCCCACTTTTTTTTAAGAGCCACGTCCGGCAAACTACTTTCAATTTATTTACCAAGGCAGCAGATGGCCCCTCTCTGATTAATACGTCTGCTACGTGCAGAATGTGTTCCCACTTCAACCGCGAGCGGCACGTGGGTGGAGCCCGACCCAGGAACAATCTCTATTTCTCCCCGCGTCGCCCGCCCGCGGGAGCACGAACCTAGCCAATGAAATGCAAGATGAGGCGTGGCTTCGAAGCATATCGTCCAACCCAGGCAGAGTTCACGGCTGGAATCAACGCGTGGAGGAGGGGGAAGAGAAAGCCGCATGTCTGGCAAAGGCGGGGTTTCTGGCTTAGCAGGCACCGCCCATAACGAGGGGGCGTGGCTTCCGCCATTGAGGAATTCTCCCTCAGCATGTACGCTTTCTACTACGGTCACATACTCCAGGCGAATGTAAACAAACGGTAAGCGAAAGGTTGTAAAATGCGCAAGTACCCGTGGAGTTTCTCTTGGTAACTTTATTCTGACTGGGAAGGGGATTGAGTTTTTAAGTGCTTATTATCATTTTCTTTTTCGGAAAGCGTATTCCCCCTCCTCCACACCTGATCATCTGTAGACAAAGCGTAATAGACGAGTGGAAATGGCTTTATAAACAACGTCCCTGTCCCTAATAGCAACTCTCAGCTTTTAAAAGTCGCTAGTCACACACAGTGTATTATATGAACGCAACTCGGATTCTTTAATCTGAATCATTGCATTCAAAAGGAAGGAAACATGCCTGCTTCTATAGTTTGGACAAAATAACGAACGATTCGACGGAACATTACAAGCATTAACAAGAATCTCTCCTATCTGGTGTTTTGGGTTAAATCTCCTCCCTTGAAACGTATCTTTCAGAAATTCTGGCTAACATTTTACTTCACCTGCGGGTGGGTAGGAAACTGAGCCGAAAACTAAGAGTTGTTCTCAATGCCGTGAGACTTTTTTTTCTTGGGTTGGTTCACAAATATGGAATCACACGTGTCGCCCGACGTCGTGTGATCCCTCCCAGCTTAAATATAAACTGTTATTCTATAAAGCGACCGAACTAGAGATAGGTCTTCAGTAAAGGAAGAAAACGCGCGGAGGGAAGGAAGGAGGAATGTCGAGGTCAGCAGCATGCAAGAGTGCCCAGAAAGTGCCCAGGCTGAGAGCCTGAGCTCGTGGGGCTGCACAGAGATCAGAAGCTGGAAAAGCCAGAGTGAACTTTGCACAGGTGGACCTCGAGCCCGGGCGACTGAAGCTACTAACCTTGTGTCTTCCTCTAATTTTGTAATGACCCAGCTTCCCATCTGCGTACATGATGAGCTTATCCATTCTTTTCAGGAGGAAGCCTATGTTTTCACAGCCAGGTTCACTGCCCTCTACCCATAAAATCTTGTCCCCGCGAATGGCTTTGCTCCCGCCTGGTTTCTGACTCGCCAAGGCGCCGTCCTGGAATTTGTCACTCAAGTGCAAAGCCAGGACTTCTTGGAAGATTTTCTCGGCTGTCCTGTGCCCCAGGAAGCGGTCTACAATGCACAAGCCATAGGCGTTCATGCAAGGCACTATGTAATGTAGGACTAGCCTCTGAGCATCTCTGCGGTGCTCTCTGAAAGGAGCCCTCTTGGGAGGCGGAGGGCTGGAGGGCAAGGCGCCCTCGACGTCCCGGGCCTCCCCCGAGCTCGCGGGGCGTCGCTCGGCTCCCGCGGAGCCTCTCGGCGGCCCCTCGGGCTGCTCCTCGTGGCCGCCATCCTCGGGGCGACGGATGAAAATCTTCCTCATGCTTTCTACTGAGTCGCCACCGAGCTCGGCCGGGGGCTGCTGTGCCGGCGCCATTGCCGCTTCCCCGCCGGAGGCCATCTGCGAGCAGATCAGTTCCCCTTGGCGGGCGGCATCGCCTCACCACGGCGATAACACGCTGCTGCAGCTGCCGCCGCCTCCGAGCGGGGCCCTGCCCGAGCGAGCGCCACGCGGGAAATGCCATGTTCGCCCCATACCGCCGGATACTACAGAGAACATGCCGCTCGGGAGCGTGCACACGTACCAATGGGAGCGAGCGGCGCTTCCACACGCCTCCGGCTCGCCCGCCTCTTCCCGCCTTCCCTCGCCTGCTGCCTCCCCCTCCCCTCCCCTCCCCTCCAGCCACCCCTTCGGGACACGGACTGGGAACACGCGAGATCCAACGAAGCGCACGAAAAAGCTCCCGGGCAAGTGCAGGACGTGCAGGGAACGACTGGGGTCTGGGATTGTTACGTGCCCTTTCTTGCTGGGAACGACGGACGTGAGTCACAAAGAAAGCTGGAAAACACTGGAGCTGTCTGCATTCGTTTACCTGGATGGACCCGGCCTTTGTCCCAGAAACATGCTGCTCCAGGCGCCCTCCCAACCCCTGCCCCCATCCCAAAAGTGCTGCTACTTTTTGGAAATCGAGAAAAGGTGGTTTGCTTTCCAGAACCTATAATTGCTAATAATTGAGATGGAAAATGCCTTTAGGACGCGATCTTTTTTGTGTTAAGATGGAAGAAAGTCCTACAACTCCCAGCATTCCCCAGCTGGCTGGGAGTTAGAAGTTTGTTGGGGGGGGGGTTCCTTCGGAGTTTAAATATGCCTGGCTTTGTGACCTTCATGACTTTAGTGCTTAACTTGAGAAACCCAGCACTTCTGGGCAATTGCGATACTGTCTGCAGTCACTCTGTGGAGTTGATAGTGGCAAATGAGACCGTTGTTGGTTACTAAAAAGAAAATGGCACGTTGGCCTGGAAGTAATTCTGTTAGCTGGGCCCACCAAGATTTTATTTATTAAAAGCTTTTCTAACATCCACTACTAGCATCTTTGGATGGCTTACAAAAATGAGTAGAATAAAACACCATAGCATCCAACAATTAAATACTACAGCCCCAGTTAAGATCAATTAAACATTACAGTAACAGGCAAATAAAAAGGGATTTGCCTGGTGCTGAAAAGAATATAACGTTGGCACCCAGGTGAACCTCTCTGGGAGCATATTCCATAGTCTGGGCGCCACCACATAGAAGGCTCCTAATCTTCAAGGAGGGCTCCCAGAGGAGGACTTCCACCTCAGATCTCAAGGGGTGGGAGGGCACAAAGGGAAAAAGGCGTTGCCTCAGGTACCCTGGACCCAAGCTGTTTAAGGCTTTATAGGTCATCACCAGCACCTTAAATTTGGCCTGGACTTCAATTGGCAGCTAGTTTAACTGATAGAGGACCACATTACATGTGACTTGTGCATGGGAACAGACTGTGCTTTGATGACATTGTGGTCTGTACACACAAAGACTCATCTATGGCCTTGAAGATTCCTTGGCTTTTCTTGGCATTCAAACTCATCCCAGCCTCATCAGGAGTCTCTTCTTAGCAATTTCATTTCACTGAAAACAAGTACAGACTCTGACACATGATAGTGTACACACACACACATCCATCCTGCTTGATACCATAAGTATACCTAACCATACTATTTTGATTATCAAACTTGAACTCAATATACATAAAGTTCAGTAGAATGGGATTATCTATATTTGATCAGTTGCAAGCAATTCTGTATCAAAATGAACAAAACTATCAAGGCTTCACCAAGAAAAAAGGCATACTTTTCCATAAAACAAAATGGTATGCAATATGAAGCTTTCCAGCCACTCTTTTTTCTTTGTATGGATGGCATCCTATGCCTGTTCAGGCAGGAAAAGCCAACAACTCCCAGCATTCCCCAACCAGCATGTAGCTGGAATTTTTTTCTGGGGAGGGGGTTTCTACCTAAACATGCATAGAATTTTGCTCCAAATGGCAAAAACATTTATGGTATGCTAGGAAATCTCTGTAGTTGGGTCCACAGAACAATGTATATACTTCCAACCTTTCTACATTTTTAGTATATGACCTTGCTGCCATAAAGAGCTGTTGGTAGAAACTTAAGAACCAGGTATTTGCAGAGTCCATTTCCTTGGACACTATTACTCTTCAGCTGCCTTCTGAATCCTCTACATCCTGTTCTCATTTCAGAACTTTGTTATCCTGTGCTGCTTAAAATAATGTTATGAATGCAACATACATATCTCATAACAACTGGATATGCAAGTGTTCTCACTTACAGTGGTATATACCAGGCTTGAAAAGTATCTGCACATTAAATAGAAAGTACAATTAATAAATCATGTCTTGTATGTAAATAGTGTCAATTTGAAATCCGAGCAACTGAAATTCAATAAGTGTATTTCCTTGTCTTTGAAGGGTTTTGCCTGTCCTCCTTGATTTATAGTGGCAACTTAAAGAACAGGTCCCAGTGCTGGTGCTTAAATTTGAAAAAAAGAGAGAGAGAGACTTGCTATAAATCACATTTGATTGTGTTAAGATCTAGGTTTCTTTTTAAATATGCTTTTCTTCAATCTCCTTGTCTTCTGCATTGTACACTGCTGCTTCAGCAACTGAACACTAAATCCTATTGACAGATATATGGTGCAGCCTACAGCCTATCTGCTGGGATGCATACATACTTCGCTGATGAAAGCCTCTATGTATAAGCGTCACAGATGGTGAGATGGAACTGCAAATCGCTCCAGGTGCTAAAGCCTGATTGTTTTAACTGTTGGCTTGGCTTGTTTTTTGTTTTGTTTTGTTTTTAAGTGTGCTCTTTTAACTTTTCGAACTTCTTTTTAAAGATCAGGTGTTAACATCTAACATCATACTGGCCACATTTTGTGCATTCCGGCACTGATTATATTTTGTATTAGTTGTCTATTAGTTTTTTATCATGTGTGTTATTTTAATACCTTAATAGATTACAAGAGTTTCTGACTTTCTAAAATGAAATTCTCCAACAAAGGGAAAATTGTTTAATGTAAATCTATTTTTGCTACAGCAGTATGAACTACAGTGTGGATTCAGTCACTAAAGCAACATCTGAGATTGGTGTAT